CATAGCACAGAACCAACTAAAATAAATAATTTAAAAGTTACTTAAAGGGCCGGCCCAGTGGCGCACTGGATAGTGCGCCGCTTGGGAAGCGCGGCGGCGCTCCCGTCCGAGGGTTCGGATCCCACGTATAGACCGGTTCCCGCTCACTGGTTGAGCGAGGCGCGGGAGCAGCACCGAGGCTTGCAATCCCGTTGCCGGTCCCCGGTCCGGTACGGGGGCAACACTGAGGGTTGCGATCCGTTGCCGGACACGGAAAAAAGACAAAAGACAAAAAAAAAAAAATAAATAAATAAATAAATAAATAAATAAAAGTTACTTAAAATAATAATATAATTATAACAATAAACATCATAATATAATAATAATTTATCTAAGTAACTGGTGAGAAATACAGCTGCCAAAACAATCTTTTAATTTTGAGAACTCCTTATGAATAAAATTGTTGTATTACACAAGCACTAAGATTGTGAGATGCTCTAGACCAAATGCGGAAGTAATTCGTAAAATCTGTGTAGCTGGAGTTGAATTTAGAAACATGGGTAGATGTTGTTTTATGTAACTTATCAAACAGTATTTTTAAAATCTCTTCTGTATCATTGCTCTGTTTACAGAGGCATTTAAGACTTGTTTAATAATGATCTAAAAAAATTAAATTGTCATACGAAATTTCATAAGAGTAGAAAGAAAAAGGGAACCCTAATAAAGCATGCTACTTCTTATTCAAAAGAAACTTGATTATGATTTCCAAGTGCTAAATCACTGATTTTTGGTGTTTCAAAATGTGTTATCAACTCCATTCCTCCATTTATTGTATAGAATTATGTTGCAGTGAAGGTCCTCTATAATTGTGGCTTAAAACAGACAAATACCTTGGACCTAATATATCAGAAAAATTATTTGACTTATGAAATTACTTTTCCACCATATTTTGGGTTGAAGTATTAACAGGTGGTGTTGATAAGGAAAAATAATCAGCTTACATATTCATCAGAGATGTGAGTAATAATAGCCTATTAAAGATATTATCTTTTGTTGGTCAAACACTCCAGTTTTTGAAAAGACTTAGCATCAACTTACTTTAACTAAACAGGTGAAATCCATTCTGAAATGCTTATCACTAAATTTATTGCTTTCTCTTCTAAAATGATTACCTTTTTCTCTGAACCTCCTCTTATTAGCTTCTCTATTATTCTCTCTTTATTTTTATTTCCTTTGGACTAGAATGCATTTGTCTTCATCTATCTCTAGGCCTAGGTGAGTTTAGGAAACCTTAAACACAATGCTGGTTAATGCACACCATGTAGCTCAGACTTCAGCTTTCCCACACCAGGAGGAAAAAGAGGTGTTATAGATCTATACCTACAACAGCAGTTTTAAAAGTTTATGCTGAGAAAGACTTTAAATTATGTTTAGCTAACAATGAGAAGTAATTTAAAATTAAAAAAAACAAAAAATTTAATATTTGAAAATATTATCATTCCTCTGTAAATTTAAACATTCCACATACATCCTATTTATTTTTTGTGTGAGAAAAGTTGATTCCATTATTAATCCTCTCCTTTTCAGAATCTTCAAACTCCCTCAACCAAGTCCTTTTCCTTTACTTTTATTAAGCATATAATGAAGATTCCTGTGTTCAACCTCTAAGTTAAACCTCTGAATTTTCTTCCTCCTCTAAGCTTAAATTCCATATTTTTCTCCTTGCTTTGCCACTACCAAATTAAATAACTTATTTTTTCCTTTCCCCAGCACTCATTCTTTTCTTAATATTGCCAGTTTTTACTGTTCTGAGCTTCTTTCCCTAATTCTTTCTGCATTGCTTGGAGACATCCTATTCTTTTCCATTGTGAACTCTGAAACCCCATTCCTTTTATTTAAAAGCTATACATCCTCAGCCTCAGTACAGAATATTCATTTCCCCTCTTACCATGAATGGAAAGTTGGCCCTTCAACAAGAATACTACCTCCCCCTGAAACATTTTGAGGGAAAGCTGCTCAAAATTCCAGAAGTGGTACAGGCATTCTTCTAGTTCTGCATTTCTTCTTCCACGTGTTTGCTTTTCTAATCTTATATAAAATCCACTTTTATCTTCAGACCATATACTTCTTTGCTGTTATCACCTATACCCAAGGCAATTTTCTTCAACCATTTTCTATGAAGCTTAGGCCCTAGTGCCTCAATGTCTATATAAAAATACTACTATCAAAGTTGGTTGCTTTCCTTGCCTTCCCAAACTGTAATCCATGCTCCTTAATAGAAACCCACTCCCAGGACCAAACACTGTATCTTTATGTTATTTTAAACGGTCCACCATCTGAAAATTCTAAAGATCATTAAATCAATCTCTAACAATAACCTTCTCAAGTTGCCTTTGTTATCACCACAAATTTCAATTCTTCCATTGAATCCCTTCCCTCTCACTTTATTGAAAATTCTACATCTAAACATTACTTAACATGACTAACATCCCCCCCAATCCATTGGACATCATTTTGACCACTTTCCTTGTTAGCTACCCTCAACATTGTCATTCTCTTTTTCTTTCTATTATAACTGCCCACAAACTTCGAGCCTTGGATCCAAACAATTACATCTGAAGTGTGCTAATGAACTAATTACACAATATTAGGAACCAGTGCCATTATAAACTTATGGTCTCCACTCAGCTAAACTTTCACCATTTTTCTACATATCCTTGGTGAGCTCCCTCCCCCATATTTCATGGTGGCTGCTTTTTATAATTTCCCCAAGATTAGAAAGCCTAGTTTACATTCATTATCTTTATTTTTTTCTCTGCATCTCCCTTTCCTTCTCTTCAGTTTGGTTTCCATCCCTACCAACTTCACTGAAATCCATCAAGCAAAGATCATTACTGACTAGTTTTATCATTTAATGACATATTTGTTTTTCTCTGGAATTTGTCTCTGTTGACTATACCTTCTTAAAATGCTCTCCTTTCTTGAATTCTCTTATCTCATGGATATCCTACTGTTTTAAAATGATTCTTTCCAAAAGAGTTTTCTGGCTTTTGTTCTTTCATTCACTCCTTAAACGCAAATAAATGTTGGTGACTCCCGACTTTTGATTCTTGGTTTTTTTCTTATTCTTCATAACTACAGAAAATTCCATGCATCTCAATGGCATCACTTCAATGGTGATACTCTACCTTAATCAATGTCTCTATCCCAGACTTCTGGAACCATAGTTCAAGACCCATACATCCAATCACCTCAATTAGATATTTATACTTAAATATTCCAAACAAACCATAAATCAACCCATCCCTCAAATGAACTTTATCTTTCATCTAAAACTTGTGCAACCTATATTCCCTATCCTTATAAAATGTACTACCACCTATTCAAACATTTCAGTCACCTGTGATTATCTTATGGCTCCTCTTCCTGCATCAATAATATCCAATCAGTGACTAAGGTTTGTAGATTCTACATGTTTAAATAACATCTCATGTGTTGACTGCCTCTACTGATACTTTAATTCAGACCATTACCACCTCCTAACGGATTGATAGCAATATCCTCATAAATAATCTTTTTTTAATTTTTATTTTGTCAATATACAATGTAGTTAGTTATTGTGTCCCATCACCAAGACCTCCCTCCCTCCTCCCTCTCCCCCCTCCCACCCAGATGTGTCCCCTCCATTTTCTCGTTGTAAGAGCTTCAAAAAAAAAAAAAAAAAAGTTGAGGTTGTTGAATCTTCCTCATAAATAATCTTTTTGATTATATTACACCAGTCCATCTTTTACATAGCTGTCAAAGTAATTTTTCTAGAAACAAATATGTGACCTTATTACTCTATTACCTTACATACTTCAATAACCTATACAATCATTATGAATTTGGTCCCTGCCTACTTTACTTAAACTTGTTTGAAGTCATTAGCCAAATTGTTTCCTCTGCCTGAAACACTCTCTACACAAGAGGCCAAGACTTTTCTAGCTTTTAATATTCAACTCAAGGGTCATCTCTTCCATCCTTCCTAGGTAGAAATGATCAGACCACCCTTCCCAGATAGGATGATAATATCCATCCTTCCCATGTAGAAAGGATCATACAATGTAGAAATGATCATACTATCTTTTGTAATTTCACTGTATTATATATATATACACATATAATTATACACATATAATTACTTCATAACACCTGTGATTAATGATTGCATTTACTCATTAGACTTACAATAGAAAAAGTCCAAAAGGATAGGGAACTATTTTGTATGTCCTATTATTTCCAGCACCTAGAACAATACCACACAGCATGTGTTTAAAAAATGTGTGTTGAATGAATGTTCAAGTTTCAGGTTAAGTTTTACCTCCTCTTGAGGTAGAAAAGAAGAGACAGGATATTCTTTCTGGCCATCTAGTTGGAAGAAATTTTATTTGACTTTATAGCTTATAGAATATATTGTTGAAATCATCCATACTGGTGCATAAACAAAGGATGTTACCCACATCTCTTAACCCTTCAATGATAAATTGATAGCTTCCTTAGGGGCATGTATTAGGCCTTTGGTATGCTCCACAGTCTAGAGCATTGCTGAACTCACTGCATAAATAAAATATTTTTGGAATTATGTGAAAAAGCTGAAAACAGTTTTATGTCTAAACTAAGTTTGAAAACAAATCATGATTAATTTGTTAATTTAAATCTGACTACACACACACACACACACAAACACACATGGACACACATACATACCATCTGTATAGTTAGTTATCCAGTTATGGAAAAATTACCTATATATGAATACTGCATACATAGAAAGTTAACCATTTTATTTAACCATCTAGTTGGAGCAGTTCCTGTTAGAAGATGAATATACATGTTTCTAAATAAAATGGCTGCAAGATTTAACGTTTTGTTATATTAGAGAAAAATGAAAAATTATGAAATGAGTTAAAAATGGTAAAAAACTTCTAGGACAAGTTAGGTAAATGAAAATATAACAAAGAAAAGCAGTAGAAGAGACAGACCTGCATGTCTTCTGTTTGTGGAGTCCACTTCTTCTGTGATCACATCGTGTAATGGAAAGACATAGACAAAGGAGATGGGTGTGAGTGGATATACTCAAAAGATAAAAGTGACACTGAAGGAAAGAGCCTGAAGTCATTTTGAGAAAATCCTGTGTACAGTTGTAAGGAAGATACAATCAAATACATACCATAAAAAAATAGACAAGAACTGATGACAAATAGGTTAGCAGAATCAGAAAAATAAAGTTAGAGTAGAAATAAAGAGGATTAAAAATTTTACAATTATTTATGTACAGCCATCCTGAACATTTATGCTGATGAAAATAGCATTAGTAAAAACAATGTTACCTGTACAACCACATTGTTCAAGACATCACTGAGTCAATTTAAAATCTGCAAAATGCTTTAGAATTATCATTTATCTGAAGAAAAGAATTTAATTGAGTCATCATCAAAAAGAGCAACAAAAATAGTTCCAACAGATTTCTATGCCTTTTATGTCACCCGAATTAACCAGTGAAAACATGAAAATAAAGTATGGCCATTAGGCCAAAATTTCATTGAACTACTTCAATACAGCAAAGTACTATAATAAAAGTATTATGGAGTAATAAATATAATACAACTTATTGAAGAGTGGCTAAAATATACGGTTTTATTTCAATATTAAAAATCCAAATTAACCCTCAGTTTAGACCAATTTTCTTTGATCAAATTCCCTTATAATATTTATTTGTTCAGTAAATTCTTAAAAACACTACATTATAAGATCATTAAAGTTTTCATTATAATTTATCCATCCAAATCCAACATCTACTATAGTACATGTGGCACACATTCTGGAAACACTTCCTTCCCCATTGCTAGTGAAGAAGTTCAGAAGACATTCTATACAGAGATATGAAAGCAGAAAAACGTCTGCTAAACTCGGCATTCTATGAAAAAATTTCTTCCAAAGATATTAGTGAGTTAGTATTAATATGACATAGATGAACAACACAATATAAAGCCAAAACTTCCTATTTTAATTATCCACTTAGCTTTTAATCCGACACCACAAAATTCTTAAATCAAAAACCATATTCCGTTCTGCAATAGCTGTATCATGGTTTTGGGTGATTTACACAAAAGCATATTATATCAAAATATACTTGGAATATTGATTTATTGAATTATAGCTATTGAGAGAATTATTTCCTGTAACAAATTTATCTCTTTTTATGAATAGTGAGAAAATTAAACCTTTCTATCAGAAAAAAATGTGCTTAGGTGACCAAAATTTTTTTTTATAGAAAAAAAGAGAAATCCTGGTATGAATTACAGAGAACTGGAAAAGTAATGACACATTCCAAAACTCAGCAACGTTATTATTATTATATGAGCACATTTTTTCACTTATTCAAAATCAGACACTAAATCTCATCACAGTTATTTTACAAACCACAGACTACTAATAGGATTGACCACTAGGAAAAATCTTCATATTCTCATGAAATGTACTCATACATATTAAAATGGTACCTTTTCCATCCTCAGTTCACCCATTTCTCAAAATAGATAAGGTAGAAAAATCACAGATATAACAATAACGTAGGCTAATGCTGAATTGTATCATACCTTGGATTATTTTTACATACAGGTTTCCCTAGATAAACAGTTATCATAATACTAAAATAGTTGCCTCACATGTTAAAGCAAAAGTGTTATGAACTGGATGAAATAATTGTTTACACATATTTCATCTCCAGGAAAACATTTCTTTTTTCCAGAAGATTTAAAAACTGCAGAAATAAATGAAGCTTTTTTCTCCACCTAGTTTTTTTTTCTGTACCTTGGATTACTTTACGAGGACACTTTAAAAAGTTCTTGGAAAGATTCATATTATCTTTTAATTCTATTTTTTCATGAACTTTTTGAAGTACCCTCACAAATGGTATTGATGCAATGGTTTTCATATGAGTATTATATGAATTCAAAACATTAAAGTTCTTCTCAACTCATTCGTTATTTATTATAGTGAATAATGGAGGGGCATAGAGTTCAAATGACTTACCCAATGTTACAAAACAAGTTCAGTGTCAGAGCCAGAAATAGAACAGAGGTCTCCTGATTACCCAGTCAATTTTCTTTCTACTTTCTGCTATATGACCCAATAAAAATGTGTGAAATAAAATGTCAAACAAGGAAGAAACAAAAAATTTTCTCATGGTGACACCCAAACTGGACATTTTATTATATAGTATTCAACTAGAAACATTTTTAAAAGAGGTACATGCTACAAACAGTCAATTAATTCATCAACACTTTTATTCTTGTAAGAAATATGGTAACACATCTTAGAACCAATAATTAAAAAAATTTTTTTAGAAAATAATACAAAATTATATTACTCATAAGGGGATGAAAATATTTTGACAATGATTTCAATACTAGAAAAAAGTGTCCATTAAATCATTTTCCATTGTTTATGTCAATATGATGCATTAATAAATAGTTCGTAAGTAAGCTTATATAAAAAGTACATAACTTTAATTAGCAGATAGAATTCATGTGAACTATAAAATCTCAATGTATTACTACAGTTATACCAAATATATTTAAAACTTTTTGTTTGGCTTTCTTGTCTTCCTTGTGGTTACAGTTTTATTATACACTATTTGCATTAAAATAGCTTCATTTTCAAAGAGGAACTTATAGTCTACTATCTCATTTAGGCATTTATGTCTTAAGTAAATGCTAATACGCTGTAAATATTGACTTTGCATATAGTATTGTAATGAAAGCAGACATCAGTGAACCTTGAAAGAAGCTGAGAGTACCCCCTCCACTCTTCCCATCCTCCCCGCTTTCCTTTGATCATTACCAAGCCACAGTCAAATATTCTACTTTTCAGTGCTGTTAATGGAGGGTTTTAATGAGGACTTTTTCTCTTTCATTTAACCAATAACCAGTTACCAGACTCTTCTATAACCAATAAACCAGACTTTTCATTTAACCGATAACCAGGTAAGAGTGATTAAGAATTATAAAAGTGTACCCTCTGTTAGGTACCTGTTGCTGTCATAATTATGGCTAGATCTTTGTTTTAGGCTTAGAAAATATAAAAACTTGCTAAAGATTATGTACAGTATTTTTTAAAGTCATATGAAATAAAATATTTCCACAAATTACATTGAAATAAAAGATATTTATAAAATATAATGAACAAATTCATAAGCACCATTTCATCACTATGGTAAATTATTTTCTAACAAATATTTTAAAATTTAAGGTAACATCAAGTTGTAAGCTTTAAAAAGTAAGGATGGGGTTTTAATCAAGCAAAATAATACTCTGTGTGTGTGTGTGTGTCTGTATACACACACACAAGCACATACCATCTTCAGTAGATTTAAAAAAAAATTTTAAGGACCAAAATACAGCTAGCTTTATTGTGTGTGTGTGTGTGTGTGTGTGCGTGTGTGTGTGTGTGTGTGTGTATAGGTGTGTGTAATTACTTTCATTAAGCATATCTGGTAAAAAAGTAAGTTTTATATCAGCTTTTATGTAAAATTTTGTACAAAGCAAAAATTCTTCCCTTGCCAATATAATGTTTTAACTATTATAATATTTCAACTGAACACATATCTCAAGTTAAAACAGAAATGATGATCTGTAATCAATTTTATTTTAAAAAAGACAAATACATGTGGCCTGTTTATCAATAAGTGTAAGTTTTTACCAAGGCTGTGTATTATCTATTTGAAACGTTGTTTATTGGCTAATGTTCTCCCTCATTTACAGCAGGCACACATTGATCCTGTTATCAGATTTAATTGTACTTGAGTTAACATGTGTTCTATAGGAGCAAACATTATTTTAAAAAGGTTCCTGATACAATGAAACAGAAGCCTAAAGGTTTTAAGTGTATATTAGAACTTGTGCATATTTAAAAGCTAACCATAGTACGAGGGCTTAATAAAGGTCACAGAGTTTTAGAATATTTTCTTTGGGGGGAAGAGAGATATCTTTCAAAAAAGAAACATAAATAAGCATCTACTTAGTAGGAGAAGCTCAGTGACAGAAAGATCAGGATAGACTTAGATTATAAAAACAAAATGTTTACCAGGTTTACAGATGACAAACTAAAACTTCACTGTGACAAAAACTATCTCGAATAATACCTGAATCCAAATTATTTGAACTAATTATTTCTCATAATTTTGTCAACAAGTATAAAATTGCTAAACATCTACAATATTTTCTAACTATTAAAATTAACAAGGTATAATCTTTTAAAATATTTTGCTATTTTTAAAAGCTCACTAACCTTACACAAAAAGGTTGTCTTTTAAATGTCTTCTCATTCCTTGCTGTGCCGTTTTTCTCTGATTCTATCTTTGAATTCTGATACTTAATGCATTTTTAAATGCAGAAAAAAGTACTTACAGTATATACTGAAGGAATTTAATATAATTTGTTTTCAAACTACAACATCCTATTTATCATAAAAAAGGAGGGTTAGTGAAGTACAGGCTTGGCTTTAATAAACTTATTAGTATGTTCAGAGGAAACCGGACCAACTTTAAATGAGTGACTAAGCTCATAAATCATGAAATTTCACTTTATGTACAGGAAAACATGCTTGTTATCAAATAATGTTATATTTACTTCTGAGGCTGTTAGAAGCATTTAATTTCAAAATTCTATCAGTTGATTAGTGTTATATAAAAATTTATTTAATTTGTCTTACATTGCTTTTTTTCCACAAAGAATAAAATACACTCATTCTACAACAATCCAGAAATAATCAGTAATTACTGAGCTGTTAATAATAACCAAGAACACAACTGTGATTCTTACTCCAGATTGAATGGATTAAACTAGCATCTAATTAGAAGACTGATTTTAAAATACCGCTTTAGACTGAAATAAATTGTTTCTACTGTTAAGAAATCTCAAGATATTCAAGAATAAAAGAAAACAAAAGTACAAAATATCAAAATACTCAAGAAAAAAATTTAAAGTGTAAAATTCACTAGCAAAATACT